TGTTTGCTACTACACAATTTAAACTTCTTTAGTTAGCCTTACTACCATGTTGGAGACGTTTTAGAGCACACCTGTCTGTCCTCTGCTTATCTTGACTGCCACTTTTTTTTGGATTTCATTCATAAAAACCATTGTATACAGTATACTTGAGACTGTAGATAATATGCAGAGCTATTAAATGTCATCAGCATAATTTAAAGCTACTTTCATAAGAGAATTAAGAGTTCTGGGTATTTAGATGAGCAGTACATGAGTTTCATAATCTTGGATATAGTCTTGATATGGTAGTTCTTCAGTGGTAAAATGCATAGACATAACATGAGCTACTCTGCAAAGAACTAATTAGGTTTAGAAACAAATAAGGGCCACATCGAACTGGCATTTATGCACCTAGCAACCCCTTAATAAATGATAAAATTGCCCAAGTGTTGTTTTTTCCTCTTTGGTGTCATTCCCTCATTGCCTGAAATTCTTTGAAATCTGTTGCTAGCCAGTAAGCAGTGATTTACCGTATTTTCCGGCGTATAAGACGACTGGGCGTATAAGACGACCCCCCCTACTTTTCCTGTTAAAATATAGGCTTTGGGCTATACTCGCCGTATAAGACTACCCCCCTCTACCAACCAATCACGGCAAGCGATGTACCAGTATTTTCTGTGCACACTGCATACAAAGCCTGCTTGGATTGGGTGGGTCAGCTCTCCCTGCCTGCCCAGCCCTCCCTGTCTCCAAGATGATCTGAGAACTGCCACAGTTATTAATATATAATAATTAATGTTAATTACCGTATTTCCTGCAAGGTACTGCCTAGCTGACGCTTCTGCACATGTCTTCGGCAGCAGTAGACGATCGCTGATCACCATTCCTCACAGAACTGCATGAGACGTCGGATGCAGCCGTTCAGTGCTCGATTGAGCTTGACTGAAACTGTGATATGCAGAGAAGGGATACACATCGGGTAGCGGCAAGAAGACGCTTCTGCACATGTCACAGTTTTAGTCAAGCTCAATCGAGCACTGAACGGCTGCATCCGACGTCTCATGCAGTTCTGCGAGGAATGGTGATCAGCGATCGTCTACTGCTGCCGAAGACATGCGCAGAAGCGTCAGCTCGGAAGTACAGGTAAGGTTTCAGCACAACACCCGGCGTATAAGACGACCCCCGACTTTGTAGAAGATTTCCAGGGGTTAAAAAGTCGTCTTATACGCCGGAAAATACGGTATTTATTTCAGGTACTTATATAGCGCCGTCAATTTACGCAGCACTTTACATATATATTGTACATTCACATCAGTCCCTAACCCTCAAGGGGTGTACAATGAAGCAAAGTTGTACTGGTTTAGGCAGTGAAATTGTGATGCCATAGGAGAAGGGAAAATTAATCCCAGTGATTCTGTAGCTTGCAGCTTGTTGCCACAACAGAACCTCTAAAGGACCTACCTACACTATCCATTTAATTTGTATCCAATCAGGTAGGTCCCAGAACTATGTAGTTGATGGATTTAAAGGAAATTGAACCATGTGTGGTGATCCTAAAGTAGAACCATAGGTAAAACAATTTTTTTTATTTTGGATAGTGTAAGGGAGGGTTTTAACCCCTTTTGGTTTATTTCTTTTGATACACTCACCGGCCACTTTATTAGGTACACCTGTTCAATTGCTTGGTAACACAAATTGCTAATCAACCAATCACATGGCAGCAACTCAATGCATTTAGGCATCTAGACTTGGTGAAGACAACTTGCTGAAGTTCAAACCGAGCATCAGAATGGGGAAGAAAGGGGATTAAATTGTCTTTGAACGTGGCATGGTTGTTGATGCCAGACAGGCTGGTCTGAGTATTTCAAAAACTGCTGATCTACTGGGATTTTCACACACAACCATCTCTAAAATGGCTGTCGAGTGTATGTGCCCCTTTGGGGATATTTCCCTTCACTTCCTTTCCCATAGCCAAAACGGGATGAGAGGGGAAAATCCCTTCAAATTAAGGGAATCCCTTGAGGACTCTCAGGCCACCAGAACTAGTGTCCCCATTGGAAGATTGTTGGACAACCCAACATTTGGGATTTTTTTACTTTCACTTTTCCTGCTAATGGGAACAAATAGAAACTGGACAAATTGGGTGAATTTCCCTAATGGGAACACAGCCCACAATAAAAACAGGCAGGTATTCTAATTCCTCTCCACTCTATCCAAAACTAAAGAAAACGTTTTCCCTTTAGTTACACTTTAGGCAGCAGTTCAGTCATTTTGTCTTTCTTGTCCAAAATTAAATGGATATATGGATCTGTAGTTGTGTAGAAAACCCCACAGATTGGATGGCATCATCCAAAACTAGGCCAGAAACTCCAATTGGGTTGTCCGCGGCATATCAAAGAAAGTGTTAGGTTCACTCAGGGCTGCGCCACTGAGAAAATGTTTTTAGATGAATCGTTTGCATGAACATATCTGGAAATAATACAAGAAATTGCTCCTCCATAGGTATTGGGGTATAATAGCACCATCCTACATTTGTGGCTAGCATTGTAATAAAAAACCATGTCATCCTCTTTTTGCTTTTGGTATACAATACTGATTTGGAGCTAAACAATTAAGAATGAATAGGATCTTGGTTTAGCAGGATTTCATTAGTCACTATAAAATGCTGAATGCTTCTGCCCTTGCTACTATAGTGTAATGCAGTCTTGGCAAGTGTTACACAATTAGCTGGGCACACATGTTTTCAAGGGTGACATCATGCTCTCACTCTGAAGAGTGTGAATGTTGTGCTAATTGCACTTGGCCTACAACTACAGAATGGTGATGTATTTTGTAACTTACATTTTTATGTATTTGTGACATCTGCTGGACACTTACTGCATCCTAGATAAATAGAACTTCACTTCTGCAGCACCTGTGTTCCGTTTGATGAAACAGAAATATACTAAGTGACAGTTATAAGGGATGACTCAGAAACCCTGCACACAGTGACTACTCTTGGCTGCATGCTTCTTCTAAACTATAGAATCAGAAAGTATTGTAGCTACATAATAGTATGACAGCCAGACAATTGAAGTATCCAGGAGGAAGTTGGCAATGTTAGCCTCTGTATTTCCCTCATAGGTGTCCTTTTTATATGGTGAGGGGGCAAATGGGAACAAAAAGGCCATGTGCCATAGATGCAGTAAAATTGTACTTTGCGATTTTATAATTTTTTTTGCAAGTTTTTCTTTCTATATCAAATCTGTGAGGACAAGGACATGAGCATATTGAACTCCTCAGAAATTTGCCAGGTTGTGATAAATTAATAAGGTTTGTAATAACGGCATGTCAAAATAATTAGCAAATATAGAATTATAACATATATATATATATATATACAGCGGGTAAAATAAATATGGAACACGTCCACATTTTTCTCTGTAAATATATTTCTAAAGGTGCTAAAAAATCTGCTGCCATCTACCAGGATGATGAAAATGAAACGAGGGTGGACATTTCAGCAATGATTCCAAATACAAAGCCAAGTAAACTCTCAATTGGTTTTAAAGAAAATAAAGCTTTTAGAATGGCACAACCTAACACCTGACTTGAATCCAACAGAAAATCTATAGAAAGAACTAAAGATCCGTGCCCACGGAGCCTTCAAGATTTGAAGATTGTGTGGAAAAATGGGCCAAAATCACACCTGAGCAATGCATGTGACTTGTTTCTCCATTCAAGAGGCATCTTGAAGCTGTCATTACCAACAAAGGATTTTGTACGAAGTATTAAATACATTTCAATTAGCGTGTTCAATACTTTTTCCCTGTGTCATTCCATTTTATTACACATAACTTAATTTCTGAACTTATTTGTTTTGGTTTCTTTGTATGTATGGATTGCCTGGGTTGTTACCGAAAATTTCATGTCAATAACACCTTTAGAGACATATTTACCGAGAAAAAAGGTGACGTGTTCAATATTTATTTTACACGCTGAATATATGTCCAAGCATACCCATTTACCAGTGGATTTGTCTATAATAATATAGCCCAAGTTTGCAACAGGTTGGAGGAAAGGGACATGGAAATTAAAGATGGCGTTTAATAGTACAGATACACCCTAGAATAAATTATTAATCAACTTCCAATTTGTTGTTGTTTAGGGCTTATTAGCTCTCTATCTTCTTTTCAGAAATTAGATTTCAAACAAGGGTGGTTTGCACAATAAAGAACATGCTGATGCAGTCTTATAAATGTGGAGCAAAGAAAAACAGCTGTTACCGATGATGAGTCTGGACCAGTGATCAGTTTTCCAAGTTCATAATGTGAAAATAAAATGTACTGTTGACTTAATCTTGTGCTGAGAAATGTATTTATGTGTAATGCCGGTTTCCTTTTCCTCCATTGCCACTGTAAAGAAACTGGTTTACTCCATAAACTTGTACAATGGAAATGTGCATAGTGGAATAGCAGGTAGCAATCCATTAGACATCTCACCTAATTGGAACTTGAAGTGATACTAAAGGCTTTTGGGGTTTTTTGGGGTAAAATAACAAACATATATTTACCTGCTCAGTGCAGTGGTTTTGAACAGAGCAGCCTGGATCCTCCTCTTCTTGGGTCCCCTGCAGGCTCTCCTGGCTCCTCCATTCTGTCGGGTGCCCCACAGCAAGCAGCTTCCTATGGGGGCACCCACTGCTCTGTGTGTCCACACATGGTGCCGCGGCTTGGTCTCTCTCCCCCCCCCCCCCCCCCCGCCGACACTGTTGTGAACATCGCTGGGGCTCAGGTGAGTATTGAGGGGGCTGGGGGCATTGCTGCACACAGAAGATAAAAAAACATTGTGCCTTTACAACCACTTTAATAAGCTGATATCTGCCTGCTGTTAGTTATTGCTCTTTGCACAACCCCAACATTCTTTTAACTAACCGATTAAATTGACCTGAATGATTGGAATGTTTTTCACTTCCACTTTTTAAATTAGTCACACAATAGGTGATGTGTATATATAATTAAAACATTTTTCATTCTTTACAGTATTTGAAGAGCCAGAAGATCCCAGCAACAGATCGTTTTTTTCCGAAATCATCTCTTCCATTTCAGATGTAAAGTTTAACCATAGTGGCCGGTATATCATGACCCGAGACTACCTTACTGTCAAAGTCTGGGATCTGAACATGGAGAACAGACCAATAGAGACATACCAGGTATAGTAACCATTCACAAAGAAAAGTACATCACTTTTACAAAATGTAGGAGAAAAGGTACCGGAGGGGAACAGCAGTCAGTTGACATTGGCTGATTCCAGGCAGCATTCCATACGATATATCCTAAAGTACATTCTAAGAAAATAAGTAAACTCATTCTAAACTTTTATTAGAGCAGAAATTGCATATAGAATCCCTCATTGGTATATGAATGTGAGCACAAGACTTAGCGTAAAGAGGGTAATAATGTTAACAAGAAAAGAGGGAAGAAGGAATATAGAAAAGGAAAATTAAGAATTGGGGAGGAAAGCGGGGGAGAAAGTGCGTGTCCAAAGCTCCGCTTCTACTACCCCCACAAGTCTGCTGTCATCCAGACGGGAGTTGTAAAAATGAAATCCAGAGGTTCCAGACCTTTTCAAACATAAATAGTTTATCTCGCAGAGCACTAACCATTTTTTAGTTGAGGATTATCCAGGATGTGGTTATCGCTATTCTAGCTGCTAGAAACATAAATTACATCAACATCTAGGTATACCTGGGAAGGTTGTTGACTGCCCTAGCATTCTTGATATTAACCATAGTTACTGAGTTTATCAGGGAGTGAACTCATGTCCAGAATCACCCGTCCTTGGGGCAGGTCCACCCTCTTTGTAATACTTTTCCCACCTGACCACATCCATGAAAGCAAGAAGAGGGTCCAGGGTACATTTTAGAGCCAAATACCATCTGGGGGAAAAAAACTTATAACCAGCTTCAATCAATGTCGTATTCATAATACATTTATGAATTCGAGAAGCCCTGGCCCTCCAAACCTCTCAATTTCTTCACCTAGATCTCTCTCCTATGCTAATGGTTAAACAACATGTTAGGTGTAGAAACAAGCAATTTGTATAGCATTTCGATACCACCCATCTGCACTGTGTCTCAAAAGTATTTATTTTCAAAAACTGTAGGTTTTTGGAGAGAGTGCAAATAGTGCAGTGTTGTAGTCTGAACAGTTCTGAAGGCAGCTAAGTGAAATAGGAAGATGGGCGCATGCCTTTGTGGTCAAGGAAATTTATTCAACCACCAGTGAAATTGATGGAGCTATAGTAGGCCAGGTGGGAATGTGGGATTATTAAGTAATGGGGACATTGCCATATGAGGAGACTGGAGAGGCCATCTCTTACAGGAGGAATGTAGTACAATCAGGGAGGGAGATAGAGTAGGGCCTAAAACCACTTTAGGAAATTTAGGAAAGACCCACATTACTACACCTAGTGGTTTTGGACCGCAGGTCTGAGCCTCCATGGGAAACCTAATCTAGCCAGTAGGAAGGAGAATAGAGTTAGATTTGTTTGGTCAATTGAGCCACATTATAATGCTTTCTAAAGTCCAGGAGAATTAACCTCCCCAGTTCTTGGGGGGCATATAAAGTGCTGCAAGCCAGTCTACTACCTCTGGATCCCCTACCCCCCAGAATACACCTGGCTTCTGATTAACAGACAGCAGTACACGTGTACCAAAAGTTGAACGGTTCCTTATAAACTGGACAAATTTCGGTCCATGTGTACTGGGTTTTAGATACTGTTGTCAGACGTGTGTGGGTAGATTTCACCTCACATATTTCTGTTATAGTGGTTACCAAGAGAGAAAAATGTGGAGACCTCTCTTTCATGGGTAAATGATAGTAATAAATACAGATATTACAGATCTAACCCATTTTCTTTAACCCCAAAACATTATTTCTAGTTATAGCCAGCAGCTTAGTGTGACATCCCTAAGAACATACTGCAGTGCTGATTAAGCATTCATACTGAAAATGTGCCACGTTATCCTTTTGTTCCAGGTCCATGATTACCTCCGCAGCAAGCTATGTTCACTTTATGAGAATGACTGCATCTTTGACAAATTTGAATGTGTATGGAATGGTTCAGACAGGTAAGGACACAGTATCTTATTTTCAACATTGCATAATGTATACAAGTCCTTTCATCTTTAGCAGTCAAAGCAACTGAATGAGAACCCCCTGGATACATCGTAAATGCATGTGGATTAAAATGGGTGAATCCTTGTTTTTTTTTTCCCCAGTGTTCTGTATAAAATTACTTTAGAATCACTTTTGTAAGGGCTTCACACTTTTTTTTTTTTTTTTTTTTTTGCGAGGGGGGGGGGGGGGGGGGTGGATTCTAACTCTAGTTTAAGACCTAGGGGAAATTTGTAAGCTTAGGACCATAGCCTAAGAAAGTCGTGGTAAATTAAAGAGAAATTTCAGGGTTGTGTGAATTCAGGTTGAACTATATACATTGTAGGTCTTTCCCTGCCCCTGTTCCAAAGTAATATTACCCTCAGTTTGTAAGCATTTTCAGCAGCCAATTTAATCACTTACGTATTTTGCATCATCTGTATCTTTTATTCCTTGCCTGTGCTTCAGTTTAAGCTTGAACAGTGCCCCGGGTTCCCTGTTTCAGGATGGTCCCTTGCAGCATCCTAAGGAGCCACCTTTGCATGCAAGGAACTAGAGTTGTGTCTTCCCATTCGGTATGCATCAATAGAAACACACAGCCCAGTAGCGTACGATGGAAGGCTATCCCCTGTTCATCCCTTCTCCTCTCCCTTCCCTTCTCCACACTTATCAGACTAGCTGGAGACTGCACTGTCCACGGTTCTTTATCATGAAGACCAGTAGTTCAGGGAAGCAGCTCTGAGATAGTAGGAGCCAGCATTAAAAGTTGTAAACCACATGTGCTGGGTTAAGAATTTTAATTATTGATTTAGTGTGGAATGTTGTGCTGGATGTGTTAAACGAACACTATGGGTTTAATATTACTTTAATGTAGGACTTGACAGAATTTAGAACCCCTCGTGTATTGTATTGTTACTGTCTTGTCTCATGTTCTGTCCCCCTTGCTACTGTACAGTGCTGAGCAAACCCTTTGGCGCTATATAAATATTGTATAATAATTTACTGAATTGTATTATCTTGTACAAGAGTCCTACCAAAGATGCTTCGTGCAGACTTTCGTGAAAAAAAAAAAACATGCATTCTTGGGAAGCCTTTTAAAGAGTATTGTTGCCATGGCTGTAAAGAAGAGAGATTAGAGTTTTTGGCAGCTTTAGAAAAAATCATAGTCAGCCACAAACTGAAAAGCAGGTTTTTGAGAAAATTAAATTCCGAAATGGCTTGCACAGCAGATATACAGTGCTCAGCATAAATGAGTACACCCCTTTTAAAAAGTAAGATTTTAATCAATATCTCAATGAACACAAGAACAATTTCCAAAATTTTGACCAAACTGAGTGTTCTAGAACACTTGTTTAGCTCATTACATGAAAGTAATGTTAATAATATAAGTTAGATTACAAAATCTTAATTTTTACTCAAATTAGTTGATGCAAAAATGAATACATCCCACAACAAAAACTACTACAGTCTAGTATTTTGTATGATCTCCATGATTTGTAAGGACAGCACCAAGTCTTCTAGGCATGGAATGAACAATTTGGCGACATATTGCAACATCTGTCTTTTTCTATTCAAGAACAACCTCTTTTAGAGCCTGGATGCTGGAGGGGGAGTGATGCTCAGCTTGTCTCTTCAGAATTCTCCATAGGTCACTTGGCCACTGAATCATTTTCACTCTGTTCTTCTTCAGAAATGCAACAGTGGCCTTAGATGTGTGTTTTGGATCATTGTCCAAAAAGTGCACGACAACCAAGGGCACGGAGCAATATATAGCAGTACGTCCGTGAATTCATGATACCATCAATGAAATGCAGCTCCCCAACACCAGCAGCACTCATGCAGTCCCACAGAAGGACACTGCCACCACCATGTTTCACTTTAGGCACCATGCATTTTTCATTGTACTCCTCACTTTTGCGACACCATACAGTTTTGAAGCCATCAGGTCCAAAAACATTCATCTTGGTCTCATCACTCCAGAGTACAGAATCCCAGTAGTCCTTTTTACCACGGGCCCTGGCAAATTCTAGGCAGGCTTTTTTGTGCATGGGCTTTAGGAGAGGCTTCCTTCGTGGATGACACCCATGCATGCCATTCCTCTACAGTGCATGCAGTATTGTGTTACGGGAAACAATCGCCCTAGCTTGGCCTTCTACTAATTTTAGCTAACTGCAGTGAACTTGCATGGCGATTTTTCTTCAACCCTTCAGGAGATGTTCCTGTTGAGGTATTCACTTCCGTGGATGGCCTAGACGTCTCTCTGAGGTGGTTGCAGTTCCATGTTTGTTAAATTTTTGTAGCACTTTTGCTACAGTGTTCTGACTGATAAGTAAAGCTTTGCTAATCTTCTTGTAGTCTTCATCTTTCTTGTGTAAAGAAATGATTTTCTTTCTCTGGTCTTGTGACCTTTCTCTGCCATTTGATGCCATTGCTGACAGCATGAAATGGGAAGGAGTTTTCTAATCAACAGTCTGCTGGACACCTGTTTACTGAATAATTGGACTCGCCTGTAGTTGAATTCTTGGTAAATAGGATTTTGTCGTCTAAAATTTAGCTTTGCTCGTAAGACTTTCATTGGGGTGTATTCATTTTTGCAACATGGTCTTGAATGAGTTTTAGGAAAAATAATTTGTGTGTGCAAATTAACAAATCTTGTTTGCAATTAATGGCCCGGATTTGTGGGAGTGTTTTGTAGTATAGTGTCCCATAGAAAATGTTGATTCTGAAAGGAGAGTAAAGGTTTTCTGACAAATCTGTTAGGGTGTACTCATTTATGCTGAGCACTGTATACAATAGCTAAAATACGTTTTGAACACATCACCATTTTTTTAGGTACATATATTCCTAAACGTGCTATTAAGATGAATTTTTCACCACATGTTAGAAACAACCCATGCAATCCATTCATACAAAGAAAATTTCCTTGCTTTTAAATTTTCCACGGTCAACTGTTAGTGATTTTATAACAAAGTAGAAGCAACTGGGAACAGCAGCAATTCAGCCACGAAGTGGAAGGCCACGTAAAATGACACAGTGGGTTTAGCGCATGCTGAAGCGCAGAAGTCACCAAATGTCTGCAGAGTCAATAGCTAAAGATCTCCAAACTTCATGTGGCCTTTAGAATAACACAACAACAATGCATAGAGAGCTTCATGGAATGGGTGTCCATGGCCAAGCAGCTGCATCCAAGCCTTTCATAACCAAGTGCAATGCAAAGCATCAGATGCAGTGCTGTTATACAGTTTCAGCTGCTTTGGTGTTAATGAAATTAACAGGTGTACTAGATGGGCAACAATGAGACGACCCCCAAAACAGGAATGGTTTTACAGGTGGAGGCCACTGACATTTTTTACTACCTTCTCATCCCTACTCTTCTGACTAACCCTAGCCAAATGCAAAACTAGTGAAAAACTGTGTCACTACTGGTAGCATGAGGCAATACCTGGACCCTACAGAGGTTGCATAGGCTCTCCAACTCCTCCAGGATGGCATATCAATATGTACCATTGCCAGAAGGTTTGTTGTGTCTCCCAGCACAAACTCAAGAGCATGGAGGAGATTCCAGGAGACAGGCAGTTACTCTAGGAGATCTGGACAGGGCTGTGGAAGGTCTTTAACCCATCAGCAGGACCAGTATCTGCTCCTTTGTGCAAGGTGCACTGGATGAGCACTGCCAGAGCCCTACAAAATGACCTCCAGCAGGCCACTGGTGTGAATTTCTCTGACCAATCAAAAACAGACTTCATGAGGGTGGCCTGAGGGTCCGACGTCCTCTAGTGGGCTCTGTGCTCACTGCCTGGCACCATAGAGCTCGATTGGCATTTCTCATTGAACACCAGAATTGACAGATTCACCACTGGCGCCCTGTGCTTTTCGCAGATGAGAGCAGGTTCATCCTCAGCACATGTGACAGATGTGAGAGGGTCTGGAGAAGCTGAGGAGAATGTTATGCTGCCTGTAACATCATTCAGCATGACCGCTTTGGTGGTGGGTCAGTGATCGTCTGGGGAGACATATCCATGGAGGGACGCACAGACCTCTACAGGCTAGACAATGGCAGCGACTGTTATTAAGTATCAGGATAAAATCCTTGGACCCATTGTCAGACCCTACACTGGTGCAGTGGGTCCTGGGTTCCTCCTGGTGCACGACAATGCTCGGCCTCATGTGGTGAGAGTATGCAGGCAGTTCCTGGAGGATGAAGGAATTGATACAATTGAATGGTTTTTTTTCTTTTTTTTTTCCCTCCAGCAAAGTAAATTCCTGGTTTTCACTTTGCAAGAATTTTCACTTTGCAAGAATTTTCTAAATGTTCTCTCACCTTTTGAAAATGACTAGACATTTTTCTATATTGGCATACAAGAAGGCTAATAGAAAGGGTCTCCATGTAATTATACATTTCCCACAAATAGGGTTTTTGCATACAAGTGTTTAAGTGTGTTTATGCGTTCATGAGGCTATCCTACTTCCTCCTGAATGTGTTTTTTATTTTTTAAATCCCAAGGAGGATTTTGTATAAAACAAATGCTTGTTTCATGGTTGCGATGCATTCCCTTAATGGGCATATTTGACAGGCAGGGCCACCTGTAAAAGCATCTTAGCCACAGCATTTGCACGGTCTCATCTAACCTCAGCATTAGAATTTAGCTTTCCGGTCAGGGGACATTAAAACAGCAGCTCAACTACTTGTTTTACCTCCATCCGGCTGCCCATGTGAAAGTGCACTTACTTTTCCCATGCCTGTTCTCCTTTAGCACTAGCAGGTCATGTTTTCTAGGTCTCTTCACTAAATCTTGGCTGAAATAATAACTATTCCACTTTTATATTCTTATTAATTCAACTAAGATCCTATGTGAAATACTAAGGAACATGTTAATACTACTTAAAGTCTGGTGTTTGGAAATGCCAAAACAGCCCAACTCTGACCATTTTTAAAAACAAATCAGTTTTTTTAATTTGCAGTCTTTGCTGGGTCCTTATTGGAAATTTCCCTCACTTCCTCAGGGTGGAACATGGGTTCCAACAACAGTATTATTGGGTAAAGTTACAACTCCTCTCAGGTTGCCATTACGGTTTAGTGATGAACACTCTTTATTTTAAGTTTTGCTGTCATTGGGATGATGGGAAGTAAAGTGATATCTCTTCAACGGGTTCAGAGACAGCAATAACAATTTTGTAGCAGCATTTGCTTTAGTCTGAAGGCTATAGTCTCTAGTCTGAATACTATATTCAGTCTATAAAGAACTGAAAAATAGCTGGAGTTGGGCTTTACCACTGAATATTTTCCTTCTCTGTTATTGTGTTGATTAGTTGGCTGTTCATTTTTTTACCTATTTCTTTTCTCCTTTCAGCGTCATCATGACTGGCTCGTACAACAATTTCTTCAGAATGTTTGACCGCAACACCAAACGTGATGTCACACTGGAAGCCTCTCGAGAGAACAGCAAGCCTAGAGCAATTCTCAAGCCACGCAAAGTTTGTGTAGGAGGCAAACGCAGAAAAGATGAAATTAGCGTGGATAGCCTGGACTTTAGCAAAAAAATTCTCCACACTGCTTGGCACCCTTCAGAAAACATCATAGCCGTGGCAGCCACAAATAATCTGTATATATTTCAGGACAAGGTTAACTAGAACGCTATTACAAAAATACTAGGTACCATGTGTTCTAAGGCTTTTTAATATATTTTTCTTCTCCCATTTTCTAATATTTTATTTTTGTGTTTTTTTTTGGTTTTTTTTCATTCACCATGTCCTTCCTTTGCCGACATATAGGTGAAACACTCATCCTGAACACCCTTTACACCATTTCAAACTGCTGACAATTTTTCAATTCTGTTTTTTTTTTTTTTTTTTTTTTTTTTCTCCTTCTTTGCGTTGGCAGCCTTCCTGTGGCATGGTTCTAAAACATGCTCTGTAGGGGTATGTTGCTGGCCTCTCATGCAGCATGAAGGGTTTAAGCAAGAAACTTTGGAGAACACAAACGTTGAGTATATATACTATTTCTTTTTAATTGGTAATTAAATTTTTAATAAAAGATGATCATTACAAGCATGTGTGTCACCCTCTCTGTTCCAGAAACGTGTTTTACAAACTGTATACTCAACTGTATTATATGAATGTATTGTTACAGATTGACTGGGGTGTACTCCATTGTACTGATTTATGATTGCGTCTCTTCACAGTGGTTGGGGTATGCTCTGTTGTACTGATATATGAATGTGTATGGTCTCAAAATGGTTGCAGTATACTCTACTTCTATAAGATTGTCTTGTCACAGAGTGGTTGGGGTATATGCAGCTGTACTGTTGTATTAACCCCATGCCACAGTGCGATTAAGACATACTCACCTTTACTGAGATAAGAATGTGTCTTGCTACAGAGTGTTTGGGGTATATTAGAATGTATTTTGTCAGAATGGTTGAGGCATACTTCACTGTACTGGTATATGAATGTGTCTTGTCAAGTGGTTGGGGTATTACTTTTATGAATGTCCTTTTACAGAGTGGCTGGGGTAAATTAATCTTATACCCAGTCTAAACGGTGGGTAAAGCCACACTCCCTTTCATCTGCATTCAATAACCTTGATAGTTTACAATCCTGCCAGGTTTCTCTCCTGTAGAGCAAAGAAGTCTGGAGGTGTTGTATTTATCACTCACCCAATAAAATGAATTGGATACTGATGGAAGGGAAGCATGTCTTTTACCGATTGTATATGCAGAAAGAGGGTTGTTTATTAAAATCTAGAGTTTCCTGACTATCTGTGGTGGGAGAATGTAGCCAGATAGAGCCTTGAGTGGTGGTGTGGATTTGAAAAAGGGGTAAAAATACATATATATATATATATATATATATATATATATATATATATATATATATATATATATATATATATATATATATATACACACAGTGGGGCAAAAAAGTATTTAGTCAGCCACCAATTGTGCAAGTTCTCCCACTTAAAAAGATGAGAGAGGCCTGTAATTGGCATCATAGGTAGACCTCTACTATGAGAGACAAAATGAGAAAAAAAAATCCAGACAATCACATTGGCTGATTTGGAAAGAATTTATTTGCAAATTATGGTGGAAAATAAGTATTTGGTCACCTACAAACAAGCAAGATTTCTGGCTCTCACAGACCTGTACCTTCTTCTTTAAGAGGCTCCTCTGTCCTGCACTCATTACCTGTATCAATGGCACCTGTTTGAACTTGTTATCAGTATAAAAGACACCTGTCCACAACCTCAAACAGTCACACTCCAAGCTCCACTATGGTGAAGACCAAATTGCTGTCGAAGGACACCAGAAACAAAATTGTAGACCTGCACCAGGCTGGGAAGACTGAATCTGCAATAGGCAAGCAGCTTGGTGTGAACAAATCAACTGTGGGAGCAATAATTGGAAAATGGAAGGTACAGGTCTGTGAGAGCCAGAAATCTTGCTTGTTTGTAGGTGACCAAATACTTATTTTCTACCATAATTTGCAAATAAATTCTTTCCAAATCAGCCAATGTGATTGCCTGGATTTTTTTTTTCTCATTTTGTCTCTCATAGTTGAGGTCTACCTATGATGCCAATTACAGGCCTCTCATCTTTTTAAGTGGGAGAACTTGCAAAATTGGTGGCTGACTAAATACTTTTTTGCCCCACTGTATATATTGCCAAAAGTATTTGGACGCCTGCCTTTACACGCACATGAACTTTAATGGAATCCCAGTCTTAGTTTGAGTTAAGTTGGCCCGCCCTTTGCAGATATAACAGCTGCAACTCTTCTGGGAAGGCTTTCCACAAGATTTAGGAGTGTGTCTATGGGAATGTTTGACTATTCTTTCAGAATTGCATTTGTGATGTCAGGCACTGATGTCTGACAAGAAGGTCTGGCTCTCCGTCTCCACTCTAATTAATCCCAAAGGTGTTCTATCGGGTTGAGGTCAAACTGTGCAGGTCAGTCAAGTTCCTCCACCACAAACTCGCTTATTCATGTCTTTATGGACCTTGCTTTGTGCTCTGGTGTGCAGTCACGTTGGAACAGGAAGGGGCCATCCCCAAACTGTTCTCACAAAGTTGGGAGCATGAAATTGTCCAAAATGTCTTGGTATGCTGATGCCTTAAGAGTTCCCTTTACTGGAACTAAGGGACCAAGCTCAACCCCTGAAAAACAACCCCACACCATAATCCCCCTCCACCAAACTTTCAACAATGCAGTGAGGCAAGTACCTTTCTGCTGGCAACCGCCAAACCCATAGATGTCCATCAGATTGCCAGACAGGGATGCGTGATTCCCCACTTCAGAGAACACGTCTCCACTGCTGTAGAGTACAGTGGCAGCGTGCTTTACACCACTGCATCTGACTTTGCATTGCACTTGGTGATGTAAGGCTTGGATGCAGCTGCTCTGCCATGAAAACCCATTCCATGATGCTCTCTACACACTGTTGTGCTAATCTGAAGGCCGCATGAAGTTTGGAAGCCTTTAGCTATTGACTCTGCAGACAGTGTCGACTTCTGTGCTCTTCAGCATGTGTTGACCCTGCTCTGTCATTTTATGTGGTCCACCACTTAGTGGCTGAGTTACAGTTGTTCCCAGTTGCTTCCACTTTGTTATAATACCACTACCAGTTGACCATGGAATTTTTAGTAGCAAGGAAATTTAATGGATCAACTTATTACACAGGTGGCAACTTATCACTGTACCACTCTTGAATTCACTGAGCTCCTGAGAGCGACCCATTCTTTCACAAATGTTTGTCGAAGCAGTCTGTATGCCTAGATGCTTGATTTTTTACACCTGTGGCCATGGAGGTGATTGGAACATGTGAATCCAATGATTTGGAGGGGTGTCCCAATAGTTTTGGCCAATACTTTTGGCAATATAGTGTATGATGTTAGAGGTTTGGGTATACTTCACTTTACTGAAGTGTGTGTGTGTGTGTGTGTATGTGTATGTGTATATATATATATATATATATATATATATATATATATATATATACACACACAGCTGTGTTCAAAAATCATTCTAATAGCTGTTATTTCCATACACACAAATGCATTGGGACACTACACATTCTATTCCAAATCAAAACATGAAGAAAATAAATCAAATTTGTGGTGTTCCTCTAAACAAAATTGAAGAAAAGTGAATATTAGACTGGTCAAAAAAATAGCAGTGTTTGTATTCTACTTTACAAACTCAAACATTCACTATATAAACTGAAAAATGTTTGAAGATTTTGCTTTCCTTTGAATCACTTAATGAATATTTAGTTGTATAAGCACTGTTTCTGAGAACTGCTGTACATCTGTGTTGCACGGAGTCAACCAACTTCTGGCACCTGTGAACAGGTATTCCAGCCCAGGATGATTGGACTACATTCCACAGTTCTTCTCTATTACTTGGTTTTGCCTCAGAAACTGCATTTTTGATGTCACCCCACAAGTTTTCTATTGGATTAAGATCCGGGGATTGGGCTGGCCACTCCATAATGTCAATCTTGTTGGTCTGGAACCAAGATGTTGCACGTTTACTGGTGTGTTTGGGGTCGTTGTCTTGTTGGAACACCCATTTCAAGGGCCTTTCCTCTTCAGCATAAGGCAGCATGACCTCTTCAAGTATTCTGATGTATTCAAACTGATCCATGATCCCTGGTATGCGATAAATAGGCCCAACACCGTAGTATGAGAAACATCCCCATATCATGATGCTTGCGCAACCATGCTTCACTGCCTTCACAGTGTACTGTGGCTTGAATTCAGTGTTTGGGGGTCATCTGACAAACTGTCTCCGGCCACTAGACCCAAAAAGAACAATCTTACTTTCATCAGTCCACAAAATGTTGCGCCATTTCTCTTTAGGCCAGTCAATGTGCTCTTTGGCAAATTGTAACCTCTTCAGCACGTCTTTTTTTCGACAGTTGGACTTTGTGGGGGCTTCTTGCAGATAGCTTGGCTTCACATAGGCGTCTTCTAATTGTAACAGTACTCACAGGTAACTTTAGACCTTCTTTGATCTTCCTGGAGCTGATTGTTGGCTGAGTCCTTGCCATTTTGGCTATTCTATCCATTCGAATGGTAGTTTTTCGCTTTCTTCCACGTCTTTCAGGTTTTGGTTGCCATATTAAAGCATTTGCGATCATTTTAGCTGAGCAGCCTATCATTTTCTGCACTTCTTTATGTTTTCCCCTCTCCAATCAACTTTTTAATCAAGGTACGCTGTTCTCCTGAACAATGTCTGGAACGACCCATTTTCAGAGAGAAATGCACTGTAACCAGCATGTACAACATTTGCTGCCTTCCTTCCTTAAATAAGGGCAATAATTGCCACCTGTTTTTCAAAGAATGAATGACCTCACTAATAGAACTCCACACTGCTATTATTTTGAACATGCCCCTTTCAATTCGTGATTCAATTACACAGAATCAGCAGCATGCATGTCATGACTGTTGGGTCTGTTGGATTTCTATTACTCTACTACACCTGCTAGTAAATTATTTGCCATGTAGAAATATCATTTCTACCAAAACACAACTGTATGTGTGTATATATGTATGTATATATATATATATATGTGTGTGTATGTATGTATGTGTGTGTATATATATATATATATATATATATATATATATATATATATATATATATATATATAATTTAAAGGCCAGTGATAATTTTGATATATAGGTGGAGCTGGGTGGGCCATGTGAGACCCTACTTTCTGTGTCTTGCATAACCCATCAGAATGATTCTAGTTATTCAAAACCTTTCCTCCTGTGTGTTCTGGCCCATCTTTGTGTGTTCCTGGACTCAAGCACAGAGATCTCACTAATAGAGTTCCCAAGAGAGATCAGATACTATCAAGTTGTTTCAACTTGCAGCATCCATCTCAAAATTTAAATATCAAGTATATTAGGTATGTAAAAAAAAAATGTTTGCTCTTCAAATGTTTAAGTGGTTTTGCTCACAGGACAAACTGAGGGTATAATATCACACATTCCTCTGAATTTTTTTGTACAGTCATTGACAGTCGTCTGTGGCACTTGGAAGGTATCTAGGTGTCAGGGCAGGAGCTGAGGAACGGACAGGCAGGCCTAACAATGTAACGCACTGGCTGACGACAACCACCACCCACAGACCAAAGTCCCTCAGGGCGCGGAGTCTAAGTCCCAGGCTGCCCTTCACCAGGGCCCCTGATGGTGGGGATGGACTTGACGCAGCCAGGAACCAGGTCGCGGCCCCCGAGACACCTCAGCTGCGGTAATGGCCGCCGCCAATGGCGTGTAGCTGGTGGAAGAGACAAAAGAGTAGTCAGACAAGCCGGGGTCAACAACAACAGGACAGAACAGTACAGGACAGCAGACGAGAATCACAGGTCACGAGCCGGGTTCAGCAACAGAGGGTCAGATCAAAGGAGAATACAAAGAATAGTCAAGACAAGCCGAATCAGATACCAGGAGAGTCACAAGAGTCAGAACAGAGTAACAGCAACACAAAGACACAAGACACAAGTGCAAAGAGCATGTGCGGGCCACAGGCTTATATGTCATCAGCCACACCCCTCTGGAGGATGGACCACAGAAACCTGAAGGCATAAAAGGGCTCCCATCATGCACAGCAGAATCCAAGATGGACACCAGCACATGAAGTAACATAACCACAGGAAAAAGGTAGGACCTTGACACTAGGAAAAAAGCCATGGGATCCATTAAATGTCAATGAGGAGGAATGACATGACACACAATTTGCTGCCTTCTCATAAAAAGGAATTTTCAAAACACAACATAAAGTCTAAACGTGATTAACATGAATCTTAAAAACGTAAACTATCATGAAGTATGGAGGCTGCTGTTATTGCCTTCCTTCTGATACTCCTAGCTGCCTAATGCAAACAGTGAAATCAGCACTGCTAATCTGCATACTTTTCAGTCTTCAAGCCAGTGACTCAAGTTCTATAGCTGGAGTTTTAGCATAACAGCCAAGTACACAAGCAGTCCTGAAGCCGCAGGTAATGGACATCCACTTCAGCTCCGGAAGATTATACCCCCTTCATGCCCAGGGCATTTTTTGCTCTTCGCCACTGCACTACTTTAACTAGCAGTTGCACAGTCCTGCAACACTGCACCTGCAAGAATTTTTTATCATATTTTTCACACAAGTAGAGCTTTCTTTTGGTGGTGTTTGATCACAACTGGATTTTTTTTTTATTTTTTATTATAAAACATAAATAACAAAATTTCTTCATAAATTTAGGCCAAAATGTTTTCTGCTACATGTCTTTAATAACAAAAATCCCAAGTATATATTGGTTTATGTGAAAGTTACAGCATTTACAAATAGTATATATCCTGGAATTATTTTTTTTTAATACTAGTAATGGCGGTGATCAGCAACTTTTAGTTGTACTGTGATAGTGTGGCAGGCTAACGGACACTGGATGGGAACTGACTAAATGCCACTGACATCTCCAGTGACACTGATACAGTGATCAGTACTGATACTACACATGGTTACTGTACTAATGACACTGGCTGGGAAGGGATTAACATCTAGGGGCAATCCAAGTGATAACTGTGTGCCTAATGTGCAATGCGTGCTGCTTTTACTACTAGATGTGAATGTTTTTTCTCCTTGCTTTGCAGGTAGAAAAAAAAAAACAGCCACATTGCTGCACTCTATTCAGAGCCCTGTGGTGTTTGTAAACACAGGGTTCTGAGCTGTCATTCGCTAAACCGATCAGCAGGTCCTGGCCATAAATTATTGGCCGGGACCTGCTGATTGGCTTGTGCTATAGTGAATGACAGCACAGAAGGGGCAGTGGGCGTGCGCTACCTACCCGAAAATGCCCAATCACATACATGTACGTTATCTTGCACAGCGGCGCTGCTCATCTGCAGTAAAACTTCAGTAGGCAGTCCTCAAGCATTTACTTGTCCTGCCTATTTGTCCTTTTAGGTAATAGTTTTATAATGTTTATATTTTTTATTTAGATTTAATTATGCTCTCTTCTGCCTCTAAAAATTTTCATAGGTTAACATCCTGAACCTCATTGGCTCACTTCTATTTGCAGAAGCCATGGGGGATGCTAACATTTTACCAGAGGAAGCTAAGGACTTTTTACCACTGGCTACTGTGGACTTAGCCACTTGCTTACTGGGCACTTATACCCCCTTCGTACCCAGGCCAATTTTCAGCTTTCAGCGCTTTCGCACTTTGAATGACAATTGCTCGGTCAAGGAACACTGTACCCATATGATATTTTTATCATTTATTTCACACAAATAGAGCTTTCTTTTGGTGGTATTTAATCGCCGCTGAGTGTTTTTATTTTTTGCGCTATAAACAAAAAAAGAGCAAACATTTTGAAAAAAAAAGTTTTTTTGTTTCTATTATAAAATTTTGCAAACGGTTAATTTTTCTCCACTGATGTGCGGTGATGAGGTGGAACTGATAGGCAGCACTGATGGGTGGCATGGATAGGCCGCACTGATGGGAGGCACTGCTGGGCAGTATTGATGGATGGCACTGATGTGCACTGATGGGCAGCACTGCCGGGCACAGGTGGGTGGCACTGCTGGGCACAGGTGGACAGCACGGATGGGCACAAGTGGGTAGCATTGCAGGGCACAGATGGGTGGCACAGGTGAGCGTCACTGCTGGGCACTGATCAGCAGGGCACTAATCATCATTGCCCTGATGATCAGTGCCGATCACTTTTCTGACAATTGCCAGTTATCGGCAGTACTTTCCTCACGCTGTGACAGCGTGAGGAAAGT